TTTCTAAGTTGTGCTAAAAACGTGTATTATTTTTGGGGTGTTAAAAATGTGCATATATTCAATATTTTCACATATATATCTATTAAAATGTATTAGTATTCATTTATTTTAGCATTTAGCAGTTGACAGTTGTCGGGTTTTTCATTATGATATAAGAACGAACATTACGCTGCAATTGTTGAATAATCATTGTAGGCACGCTTAAATAGCGATAAAAATCTCAAATAAAACAATAAAAACTAAGAAAAGCCACTGAAGGGGCATAGAGCACAGCAGAATTGTAAAATTGTTAATTTTTAATTATTTCCAGTTAATACAGACCCATAATTTACATAGCACGAATCGGTTTTATGGACTATACGTATTTCGTAGAAACGGAAATGCCACAAACAATACTTAAAAGTTGCTTCCACTAAAAATACCAGCTCGAAACGTGAACTTTTTGTTTTATACAGTTTATTTAAATTTTTTCTATGTTGCACGAACTACGTGATTGAATATTTGCAACATTTTGCAGCATTTGCATTTTCCCGAAAATGTTCAGTTGCATTTTTCTACAGTTTTTTTTTGTTTTTTTTTTTTGGGCTGTTGCAATGGCAACGCCATGTAATACCCTTGGCTGCCCAGTGCACGGCCGCTGGGCTGATGCTTGCCAATTACGTTGGCGCTGCCAACAACTAGCAACAGCAATGAGGTGCAACAACAACTAGCAACAACTGCATTGTGACCACAATTAAGTTTAAAGTGAAATTCTGCAATTGCTGGCACATCATTTGAGGCTACGCTGAGATGAGCTTTGCGCCTTTGATTGATCGCTGGTTACGTGCTGAAAAAGGTAAAAAGCGGGCAGCAACAACTGCAGCAGCAGCAGCAGCAAATGAAATGTGTTGCTGTTTTGGCCTCCAGGCGGATGCAACAGCGCTCAGGAGCTGCCTGTCAACTATGTTGGAGCTTGACTCCGGCTTGAATGTGCCACCGTGATTTCTGCCAAATGCCCGACACTAACAACACTTTTAGTTTCATTGCTAAATGAGTGAATTTGTTAACAGAGCAATTGTTGTTGCTGCTGCTGCTGCTGTAATTGATGTTTTATACAAATTTCTCACGCTTGTCGCTAGGATAACATTTTTTTTAAAATCGTTTATACCGGCCAGACAGACAGCTAGAGGCTAAAAGCATGTTTGCTGTACACTCAGCTTAAGCTGATAACCAGCTTTGATAATATTCGCATCAATATGTTCAAGCGCATGCTATCAATATTTATTATGCTATTTTTGAAAGCTGAACAAACAGGAACTTAATTGTTCTTAAAACCACTCAAACAAGCAGACATGTTGCATTGAAGCTTATTGACTATGGGATACACTTTGAATTTAAATTAATAAATTAAATAGATAAGATATAAAATTGCAATATAAGTATACAATTCACATTTATACAATGTATTAATTAATTTATTCATAAGGCGAAAATAGGGAATAATTTATTAAAATCTTAAATGAACAATATTTTTTGAAAGCCTCACAAATATTGGAATCATGCCATATGCAGCTAGTAAGGTAATACATACATATATATAATGCTAAATTAAAAAAAAAAACAATAAATAATTAATGACTAGCAACTTAAGCCTTTGACTTAAGCCTTTCGACTTTCTAAAAAGTAAATATGCATAAAATGATATGCTAATCAACATTTTGAAGCATTCTTAAATGCCAACACCAAGTCAGGCAAAGACTACAACCAATTGCCCGTCTCATGTGACCCAGTTAGGGTTTATTTTGTTAGTGTCACCGTTTCTGGCTTATAAAGTGTGCCACTTCTAAGCTGCAAATAAAAATCTGCCATAACGAATTGTAAACAAATAGAGTCCAAACCGAAGATCGTTTAAATGGCAAAAGGCAAATGGAAAAAACTACAACAGCGGCACAAAAGGAGCCAAGTAAAAGGCACACAGATCGCAGATGAATGAATGAATGAACGAGTGCCAGCCAAAACAAAAACAAAAAAAAAAAAAAATCAAAAAGGGAGCCAACAGCAAGGCAGATAAACAAACAGATAGCAGCAAAAAGTCAATCGTTGCCGTTCAAGAGTAGCAACAATAGGCAACAAAAATCCTATAAAAATAGTAACAGCAACAACAATGGGAGGTAGCCGTTCAGCACGCTCCCAAAAAAACATGGGGAGATACAAATTGTATCTTTAGCTGACATTTCAACATGACTCCAACTACAATTCCAACTGTGACTCGTGTGTTTGATTGTGTCTCTGCATGTGTGTGTGTTTGTGTGTGTGTGTGTGTGTGTTTCGGTTAAACTACATGCCAAATCTGTCAAGACGCCACAAAAGAAAGCGGGCATCGGCGTGGGTGTCTGGCGGTCAAAGCACTCGCCAATTCAATCTGAAGCTGAACATTTCATTTCAATGCCCGCAGTCGGCACATGTTCGAGATACCCTAGATAATGAGCAAGCCCACCGATTGGCAATTGCTTTTTAACCACTGTCTGGCCTCAATACCAAAATGTGATTGATCATCGCTTCACGCGCTGCACCCCCTCCAAGCATCGCTCCTTAAGATCGTGCGCTCTTCAAAATATCATAAATTTGATATGTAATATACAGAAGAAAAAAAGTGCGCGTTCGAACTTTTGCTTAATGAGTTCAGGTAAAGTCATAATTTTAAAAATTATTTTTAATCCAAATTATTCATTTTATTTGAAATTTATTCAAATAAAAAAAAAAGGTAAATATCTCCCTTTATTTTTATGTTATCGATGAGCAAAAAATTCAATTATATTTGCGACATTTTTTGGCATGATTTGATACTGAGATAATTTTGTATACCCAGCATCACATTAAAACCGCATTAAGAAGGGTATGATCATGTTTTGAGATAATAAAAAATAGCCAAAAAAAAATCGTCTGTCATCCTATAAAGCATTTTTGAGTGTTTAAAATAGCTGGGCCCAGTCAAGCAGATCTCAGAGAGAGATTTCATATAATTCTTAGACAAGTCTTAACCATAATAGAATTTATTTTCACACTTTAACTTGAAGCCTAAAATAAAACTGTACTTTGATATGTTTAGTTGAACATATTTAACTGTCTTTTAGTTTTTAAGTATAGGGTATTCGCAAGTCAAACACACTCATCCAGCGTACCCTTACCAGTTGTAGGTAAAATGCACTTAAAAACGGATATTCACATGCATTCAAATCGATTGCAGATCTTTTACACACACTAAATAAAGTGCTCTGAAGTCTTTTACAAAGCCGAACGCTTCCGTTGGCAAGAGAAAAAATCAAAAAAAAAAAAAACCGGGCTAATTTCCTATTACTGTAATGAACGTTTTATGAACTGCTATAACGCAACACCTTAATTCGAGTACGATACGGTATTTTTTTTTTTTTGTTGTTGCCTCAGATACAGAGAGCAGAAAAATCGAACCGATTAGCGAGCACATGGGTCACATAGGTATAGAAAAGAAAAACCTGTACAATGGTCAAACTAAAATTAGAAGTCGAAAAAATCGTGAGGCACACACAGACACACAAACACACACACGTAATGCTCGTTAATTGTGTCAATATGAAACGTAATAAAGCACTTTTTAGAATGTAACTGCAAAAGGTGCAAACACTAAATTTAAACCAACTTCGTTGCCAAGTTCCGTTTCGGGATTGCAAGCGACGCTTCCTCAAATGCCAAAGCTGTGGTCAATCACAGAAATAAAAGGTACTCACAGTTTTCTATGCCCGTGTCCAGTTGTTGGCCAGTTTCCTTTTCGGTTTGCCGCAAAAAAACAATTAGCTCTCTTGGCTTTTATTTTCTGATTGTGCCGCTCCTTATTGGTAATGCCTTTTTGGCAAATTGCACAACTCACCGAAGACGTGCACAATAATTTGACAAAAACTATTTTTTAAATGTTTTTCGGCTTATTTTTTGGTGACTTTTTTTCTTTTGAATTCGTTAGCACACACAGTAGCACAGTAACACACGCACAGTACTTAGTTGTGCCTTCTTTGGCTTGAACGGGCAGCAGACAAGTCTGCTTGCAGTTTAGGCCTGGCTAAGATTTTGCTAAACTTGTTTTGAACTGCGCGCAATCGCAGACCGTCGTCGACTCAGCGTTTGGCCGGCAAGCGCGGCTCTTTTTAAACTCCCCCCAAAAACGCCAATACGAAGCTTGAGCTGTTAACTGGTTCGTTTTTTCAGTTGGTTCCGGAGCAACTGGTTCCAGCTGCGCTCACGTTGTGTAGCTTAAAGCTCGCTTGCCGCTCTCCGGTTGCTTGCTAGCAAATTTTTATTTTTTAAGCCCTAATATTGTTTAATATAAAAACATGTTCTAACTATTGAAATGAATTTTATAAACTTGCAAATATTTAAGTTACAAGAGTTAGCAAGATCACGATCAATAATATATATTAAATGGCAATTTTTATTTAAAGATATTCAATATTTTATTGTCAGTTTAAGCTACTTGTGCGTTGTTTAGTGGTGCAACAAATATATGCTTATATTGAAATGGATTTATGTATTTTTATGCATATTTCTAGAGTTTTTATCACCATAAGCAATATTCCTATACTTAGCAAATCTAGGCTATATATAAATAATTTCAATTCCAAATGCGAAATGTAACTGAAATATTTTCGTTTCTACTGAGCTTAAAAGCAGATGTTGATCTTAATGCTTTTTGATCTAATACAGTTTAAGACCTTGAATAAGCAAGCATACGCAACACACCCCAACTCCTTATTTGGGTGACTCATGCTAAAGTGTTGGTGAGCCTATTCGGATGCAGCCAGTGCTGTATAGCTCGCATTCGAGCTAGCGAATCATACCCAGCAACTACGTCACTGGCTTCTTCAACCACCGCTTAGAGGCAAATGCTACGCAAAATGTAACGAGTGCCAAAGCACTCGCTGAGCAGCCCACACGAAAATGTAACGAGTGCGCTCAGTGCGCGGGCGCAGAATTAACGATTTGCAGCTGGGCAACGAGTTGGCTCAAGACACTTGAAAGGCAAAATAAAGTACAACGGCTGTGGAACTGCGTTGTACAATTTGAGCATATAAAATTTGAAAAATAGTAGCAAAATAACAAGGAAGAAAGTAAGCAGGTATAAAAGTAAGAATATAATAATAATAATAACTAAAAGAAACGTTTTAAATCAGTTTTAAAAATGCTGAAAGACACCCAATTAAAGCCAGCTGCAGCAAAAGAAGAGAAAATTTGGCATACAGTTTAAAACAAGTGTTAAGAAAGCTCTTAAAGCACATTTCAAAGATTGAGTGAAAAAATATAACAAAAATACGTAAGTTTAGTAAATTTGGAGTAAAAGAGTAGTGAAAAATTTTTATTGAACTTGAAAAAAACCCAAGAAGTAATGCGAGCTGTGCCTTCAGCGGGGGTGGGTCGATGAATCATGCGAATTAGCCACACAAGTATGCATGTACAGGTTTCCCGACTGTGTGAGAGTGTGTGTCCGTGTGTGTGTGTGTGAGTGTCGCAAGTAATGAAAAATAACAACAAGAGTGTGCGAAAAACGTAAAAACCCCAGCAGCAGCTGGCAAAAAAGAAAGAAAAGCTTAGCACAGATTTGTGGTAAAATCGATGTGAGGAGCCGACACCAAAAATCTTCTTTTCATGTTCCTTTTTTTTTTTTTTAACTTCTATTTTTATCTTTTTAACTAACTTGAGGTACTCATTCTGACTAATTGTTCTTCCGTACAGCTACGCGTAACTTCAAAGCAGCTAAGACCAAGCGCAGGGCGGCTCAAGCCACAAGGCACTTAAAATGGCTGACGAGTATATGCCAGATGTCAGCATGATGGACACAAGTGAGTAACATATTGTGGCCAAAGCTAATGGCCATAATTAGCATTGTCTAAATGTTAGAAAGTTGCGGCAGAAGTTAAGTCTTCAGAAGTTTTCTTTGTAATAATAATATCTTGGGGTATTATTAAATTGTTACGAACGATGTAACTCATTATTTATATTATATATATATATATATATATATATATATATTTTAGATAAGAACAACGATTCAGGTCGATAAAGTCATATCAATTCGGCTGTCTGTCTGCTTCCAGATAAAAAAAAAGACTTTTTAGCAGCTTTTCAAAACTTACTCTCTCTATTGTTTTTGTTCTTCGAGATATGATACATTTTTAATAATTTTTATCAAAGTCAGCTTTTTTATAGCAAGGTTTAGAAAATATGAAGTTATATAAATAATTATTATTTTTTTTTTTTAATATTTTCATCATGTTTGAGGCAGCATCTGAGTGATTTGGCTTAAAATTAGTTTAGTTTTCAGCACTTATCTAAATACAGCCAATATAAATATGAGAGCAATTAGTTTTTCCCCACCGAAGCTAGCTCTAGTAAAGTACTTTTTAATTTCTAATTATTTTTGTTTGTATCTGCTGCAGTTGTGCCCGCCATATTGGGCCTCACTGCAGCCGCGGTGCTCTCGACGGTGGCCTGCATCTGTGCCAAGCAGATGCGGCTACGCAACAAGAAGCAGAACCATCATGATGCGTCATTCCCATTCCAACCGACACGACGTCCGACCGCAGTTCGTTCGCCAAGCGGCCAGCCGCCGCACTATCTGAAGAAATCACCATCGCCCACCGGTGGCAAGCAGATGGGCTTGCTCTCACCCATGCAGGATCAGTCGACATCGCCGACAGCGCCGCCAAATATGAAATATGCCGAGGAGGACGAGGTGGCACAGTCGCAGCTTGCACAGCAGCAGCAGCAAAACTCCAACAAGCTACACGTTGTGGACAATGCCAAGCACCACAATCAACACCATTCGCCAGTGGAGACCATTGCCAATGGCAATGTGACCATCACACTGGACGAGACGCTATCCAATGGCAAGGAGCTGACCGTATGCGATCAATATGGCAAGCTGGGCACCATTTACTTCAAGCTGCGCTACTTGGCCGAACGGAATGCACTCATGGTATCCATCATACGCTGCCGCGGGCTGCCCAGCAAGGGTGGTGCTGGCGGCACTGGGGATATACCCACTGGCATGAATGGACGCACCCAGGCCGCAACCGATCCGTATGTAAAGCTGCAGCTGCTGCCGGACAAACAGCACAAGGTGAAGACTCGCGTGGTGCGCAACACCAGGAATCCTGTTTACGACGAGGACTTCACCTTTTATGGCTTGAATATGAATGATCTGCAAAATATGAGCCTGCACTTTGTTATACTCAGCTTTGATCGTTATTCGCGCGATGATGTTATTGGCGAGGTTGTCTGCCCATTGTCTTCCATCGAGATCGGTGATATATCGAAGGAGGCGCTCTCGATTAGCAAGGAGATACAGCCACGCAGCCTGAAGATACGCGCTCAAGGACGTGGCGAGCTGCTCATCTCGCTCTGCTGGCAGCCGGCAGCCGGACGCTTGACCGTCGTTTTGCTAAAGGCGCGCAATTTGCCCCGCATGGACGTCACCGGCCTCGCTGATCCCTATGTCAAGATCTATTTGCTGTACAATGGTCAGCGCATAGCCAAGAAGAAGACTCATGTCAAAAAGCGCACCCTGAGTCCGGTCTTCAATGAGAGCTTTGCTTTTGACATACCCGCTGCAGAGGTGAGTTGAACTAAAAGTCTCTTATGCGTCTCTTAATTTTACTATTTGTGCATCTTTTGTAGGGCACTGGCGCCACCTTGGAAGGTGTCTCCCTGGAGCTAATGCTGCTCGACTGGGATCGCGTGACCAAGAATGAGGTAAGAGCCCATAGTATACTTTAAGTAGGTAAAACTATCAAAACTCTCAACCTCTTACGTCCACCTAGGTTATTGGACGCTTAGAGTTGGGTGGACCCAATTCAAGCAGCACCGCTTTGAATCATTGGAATGAGGTTTGCAATTCGCCACGTCGCCAAATTGCCGAATGGCACAAGCTAAATGAGTAAAACTCTTAAATTTTATCAAATTTTGGGGCAGCGATCCGGCGCTGGCGCCGCCTATTCAACCACAACAAGAACAACAACAGGCAAACAAAAATTAAATATATTATAATTTGTATTATCATTTTTATACTGCGTGCATAACAAACATTTATTTTCAATTAATTAAAGATTTTTAAATATTTGTTTTAATTATGCTCAATATATTTCTTTAAACTTTTAATGTGTGGCACAAGACACACAACATTTACATAAAAAAAAAAAAAGTTGAAGAAAAAGTAATTTACAAAAAGAAACAAGAAAATTTAAGTAAATTAAATGTATTAGAAAATGTTTAGTATGTAACGACGCGTGTTAATGTAAGATAATTAATTTAAAGAACATGATACACTTATAATTATATTGAAAATTAAAACAGGTACACATACGTATAAAGAACTTCAATTTGTTGCTGTATAAAAATCATTACTTAAATGTTGGGCTACATTTTTTTGAATTAATAATTTCTTATTGAGCTTTAACTTTTATTTTGCACTGTAAAATTACATATTACCTGAAGAAAAATTGTTTGTAGTCCATTTATTATAACTCTGCCCACCATGAATACATTTGGTATTTGTTTAATATGTATTTATATTGTAGCTTTAATTTTAAGCATATGTTTATTTAATATTTACCACAAACTGAGTTCTGAATACCAAACACATGTAGGAAACCCCCGAGAAAATACTTGAATAGTGCTTTACACAACAAATTTTCCAAATGTGTCCGCAGTGAGACAAACGCTTACCGCTTATATCTTTATATACATATAAACAAAAGAAAAATAACCAAAAAAAAAAAACCAAACCAAAATAAATCGAAAAGAAAACGAAACTTGAGAGAACACGCAGCAATTTGCTTAGGCACCAAAAAGCTACAAAATCACACACAAAAAAAGAACGAAACAAGTCAAAACCCAAAAACTAAACAACACAATAGAATAGTACTTATAAGATGGCAAATCATATTGTATGTAGAAACCACAATTTAAAAGTAATTATATTATGTAGAGTTACGAGATACATAGAAGGCATAGCTCAAAATGATGGCAAACTCTTACGGCACTTACCCAAACGTACTTCTATAATATTTCTAAGCCCAACTAAGCAAAGCTTACCACGCAAACCCCACAACAATTGAACCGTGTAATTGGATGCTATGAGAGACATTTATAAAATCAATTTTGTAAAACGTTGACAGAAAATGCAAAAAATGAAAACAACAGAAAATAAAAAGGAAACAAATGCGAGCACAAAATGCATACTATAATATAATCATACCCGCAAAAATAAGAAAACCAAAAATTCAATTTGTGTCCACAATCAAACTTCAATTCGTCTAAAGTGCATACAATAATTAAAAAAAAAAAAAAGAAAGCCGATTTTCATATACATATAAATATATATACATACATCAAAATATAGTATATACATACTTCATGCAAATGATTATATATACTAACTGACATATATACTAACTAAATACATGCACACATATAAAGTGAAATGTATAATTCTACATATACATACATATGTAATAGGAATGATAAGAGACATTGAATGGTTAATTTCAGTAATAAAAACATATATAAAATATAAAAAATGATATAATATTTTAGTATTTTATTTGAATTTATTAGAGTTGAGAATATATTCAGTACTATTTAAAGTTGATAATTCCAAAATGTAGTTGAAACTCAATTACATGCATCTCGACTCGAACTCTTGGTTTATATTATATATGGATGGAAGCCAGCAGTGGGATGGTAAGTGTACAACTTTAGACTTGTAAAATTCTCTTTTGTTTACTTGGATGGAAAATAAAATAAAATAAATAAATATTTATTTTTAATGCTGGTTTGGGCGACCTTTTCATTTTTAAATATTTACTTAGCTGGGTCGATGTTTTGTTTATATTGAATTTGAATAATATATTCAAATATCGACATATAGTATGCAATTCTTATGAATTCATTTAAGCTTTAAATTTTTTCCAGCTTTGACTATAATTTGTAGCTGGGCACGGTTTATCTCTTTGTTAGTAGCAAAACTAAGTTTAGCTAAGACTCATTCTTTCTACTCTGAAGTTTTTATGCCCTGAACCCATTGAAAATGGGTATAATGCTCTTTTTTTTTTATTATTGAATTTAGTGTTTGCATCTTACTTTCAAAATTTAATTAACTCTTTTAAAAATATTTAAATTTGTTTGTAAAAATATCTAACAAATACTTAAAAAATTAAAAATGCTTTGGGAATCATCGGAAAGGTTTGGCAAAGTAAAAGAAAACTCTTTTAATGCTGGGTGATTTTGACGTTCTGCTTACAAATTATCTGACTAATTCTAACTTTAATCTTTAATAGGATGCAGCAACAAAGCGCAAAAATAAACCATCCCTTACCTTTAGATTTGGTTCCTAGTCTGACCCATGGGCTTGGCTGCCAATCGAGCTATAGCCCAAGATAAATCAGAGCAGAGCGTTAGCTTTGAAGTCTTCCATAAGCAACGGTTGGCTGTGGGACACACATGTGAGAATTATTGTGGACAGCGAATCGGGCATATATATTATATAAAAGGTTTTATCAAAAACGATAATGCAAGAGCGAACTGAATCCTTGAACATTGAATTCACTTTATTATGGTTTAATTTAAGAGCTAGAAATAAATGTGAATTTACATTAACTAAAACACACACACATCTACTACTTGGCAATTACACAAGTGTATTATATATATATGTAATTAGTTTTATTTACTTATATTTTGTAAAGTACTAAACTTTTCCGTCCGCATAAACCTTTGACGCATCTTTCTTTGTGGCCTGCTTCCATTTGCTATGCTTAAGTTTAGTATTCAATATTTATGCCGTTTCCTGTTATTAATTATTATTATTTCGCGTTTAGTTTTTATACATTGAGATTTGCGGAATTATATTCTATTTGTTTAAATTATTTTCTTTCATCTGCGTTTATGTTGGTTTTTCGTCATGTAATGCATAATTGTTAGTTCATTAATTACTGACATTTAGTATGAATTTTAGGACACATTTAGTTGAGTTCACTTAGCTAATACTTTAGTTTTCCATAAAAACTTTATATTTAAATTTGTATTCAAATTTTTGCTCTTGATTTTTCAATTTTGATCACTTCAGTCTTACCAAAAATATTTATTTCAACAGTATTTTTTTTTCTCGCGGTTTTGAACATTCGAAATTTAGTATTATTTAGTATCAACTCTTAGGCTTAATTCAAAATAGTTTGTTTTTACTTCTTTAAGCTATCGCATAGTTTCTTTAATAGGTTGTAAACACATCAATATTCTAATTCCCAACTGTGTTTTTCTGTTTTTATTTGAAAATTTGAAAATTTCTTTAAGAAATTTTTGTATTCAATACGATACACGTAGATACATAATGGATTACTTATCTTTTGCCAGTACTAATCGTAGTAGTTGTATATGTACATAACTTTTATAGTTTATAGTTTACATTAGCTTTGATTTCAATGCTGCCATTTGATTTAAGATATTACTGCGAGATCTGTTTTGCGCATGGAATAAAACTACATCTTAAGAATGTGACGTTTAAAAATATTTACATATGCACTTCAAGAGCTCTGAGAACTGAAATATGTTTAAACTAAAGTTCACAAGGATTCTTGAAAGGGTATTGAAATGATAAAGCTACCTTTAAGGTTTATAGGCTAGTTACACATCCAAGGGGCTAACGTTGAATTTGACATAAAGTTGATCAGGCGGTTCATAATATTAAACTGTTAATCTTTATGTGTTTCTACAAGCACAGTAAATATTTTGTTTACCAGGTGGTAACACTGCATGTCAAATATTTACCAGCCAAATAAACCATCTTGTAAGCTTAACATGAACACGAAAAGCGCTAATCGAACTTGCTTGCAGTATGCAATCTTTATGTCAACTATTTACTAGGTAAATAAACCACCTTGATAGCTTAACATGAAGACCAGCGGGAGAAATCGACATTAACAACATGTTAAACTACATGTTATGAGTTTATGACGCTCTCCAGGGAACTAAACGAATCGGACAGATAAAAATATGTAACCAAATTCTGAAATAGCTCCAAACAGCAATTCTATTTATATAAATTCAGCAAATACGCACAAAGTAAAGTGCCATAGTTCCCACAGGAAGTCCAATCAGTAATTGAGTTTTAAAATTAATTTGGACGGTGTAGTTAAATTAGAATAATTAATACGTATAATTGGCAATTTACAGTTTTGTTTATCGTAATATAACTTAAAAGAACTGTGTGTGTGTGTGTGTGTGTATATATATATGTAACCTAAGTCATAGTACACACTAGGAGTTACTAACTACAAATTAATACTGTACAGGATGCGCGACACTCCTTATAGAAACTAATTAAACGGGCCTCAGCTCGTATTGCATACAAATCGGCGGTTAACGAAATATCTGATATATGTATACATATATATGTATATACTATATCAAATATGCAGCTAAGTACAAGAACTTAAGAAGACGGGGCGTGGCCAACTTAAAAATACGACGTTAGCTATCCTTTATCCTTGCCAGGCCCGACGCTTACGCCGAGCAGATGCTCCCCGGCCATCAGGCCCGCCGGCTGATGCGCATAGTTGCGTATCTGATGCAGCGAGATCAGCTGATTGGGAAAGGCATTGGCATTATTCTGGTTGACATTCTTATTGGGAAAACTGATGGCATCATAGAGATAGGGACGCTGCGCCATCGGATGGTGGCTCAGTGAGTTCAGGTGCGGCGGCATCGAGTTGATCGGCGTAAAGGCCGAATTGCTGGTGGTTTTCGTTATGGATGCCGCATCATACGGCCCCACAGTGCTGGGCGTGGTTACTGCAGATGGAGAACATTCCCTTAAGCTATTCCCAATTTGAGAGTTGCGAACTTGAAACTTACCAATATCCTCGCGCACAGGGTCGGGCATGATGCGATGATGCGGCTGCAGCTGATCCGGCGGATGGCCATTGCTCTGGTTGCTGTTGGGCGCTGTCGGTTGGGCATAGTGCGCCTCCATGCTGTGCTGGGGCGGTGGTTGCTGTTGCTGCTGCTGTGGGTGATGGTGCTGCGGCTGTTGCTGCTGCTGCGGTGGCACGCCCAGTTGCGTGTGATGGTGATGCGGCTGCTGCTGCTGTTGTTGCTGTTGTTGCTGCTGCTGTTGTTGCTGCTGCTGTTGTTGCTGCTGTTGTTGCTGCTGCTGCTGCTGCTGCTGTTGCTGCTGCTGATGCATAACCTCCATGGCATTGGCTGCAGCTGCAGAGTCCGGACTTACCTTTGGCCAGTAGCTGTTGTCGCTAGGCGCTATTGAAACGGGTGGCAACACCAGATTGTTGCGCTGATGCTGCGTGTTGCTGGCCGCCGCTGTTGATGCATTGCTCGTCTGCCCGCCGGCAGCAGCAGCAGCAGCGGCCGCAGCGGCAACGGCTGCTGCGCTGCCCGGCGCAATGGGCGGCCGCTTGTCCGTGCGCTCCGCATGCTTCTGCATGTGCTTGGTCAGGTAGGTCTCCTGGGTATACGACTTGCCACAGTACTGACAGATGTGCGTCTTCAGATGCTTCGACTCCTTGTGCTTGGGTATGTGCTCCAGCAGCGAGGGCTCATCCGAGAAGCACTTGTAGCAGGAGTTGCACTTGAACGGCTTGTCCGTTTGATGGCAGCGCGAATGCGACTGCAGATTGGACAGCTGCGAGAAGGCCTTCTGGCAGCCGGGATGCCGGCACTTGTACGGCTTATCGCCCGTATGGGTGCGTATGTGCTGCTGCAGGTGCGACAGCTGCGTGAACTTGCGCTGGCAAATCTCGCAGCGATACGGCTTAATGCCCAAATGGATGCGGGTGTGCTGCGACAGATACGACGAGTTGGCAAACGCCTTTGAGCATTGCGTGCACTTGTACGGTTTCGCCTCACGCATATGGATCTGCGTGTGCAGCTGCAAGTCCGCCTTTGAGCTAAAGATCTGCAATGGAGAGATTTTGAAAATTGTGAGCGAGTCGGACATGGCTGTGCCTTGGCTGGTTAGGATTAAGATTTTTATATTTTGCCTAACTTGCATTGCACTGGACTCAAGCTATCAACTGTTTATTTTTCGTTAAAATCAAACTTCATTTAAAAATATGACATTTTTAATATGCAATTGTTGCAAATATATGACAAGATTTTTATTTAAGATGTGAATTCGAAATCCATGTAAAACATGTTATTTCGTATTAAAATCGAAACAATTTCGACAGAACTATTTTAGGAAAGGGATTAATTAAGTACTTGTGCTATTTGGAAGTACAAAATTTGTTATTTTTGGCATGATTGAAACTCCAAAAAAACTGTTTAAAGATGCCATTTAGCTACTAAGTCGAATTAAAAGCAAATGTCAGTAATTTGTTAACATAAGGAAATACACAAAATTTTTTAAAATTAAAAAAATTTCCAAAAATTCGAAAAAGCATACATTTTTTTTGCATAGTCGATTTAAAACCCAATTTCGAGGTTCCAAATTTTTAAAAAGAGATATCCCCAATAAAAAGTAAGTACATATTATTTTTTCAGAAATTCGAAGAGCTTACGGAGTTACAAAAATATTTTGCATCAATAATAAATGGTAAACCTTGTCCGAAAAAGCATCGAGCATAAAAGTCGATTCAGATTTCAAGAGGTTATTTAAGTTTAAATGCCACGCAAAGCATTGGGTAGAATATTAACTAAAGTTTAGTCCAGATGGATTTCTTTGTATTGCGCGCAACCCCAAGCCTTCACCTTGGTATCCTTCACATCGTGCGGCATGTGATGCGGCGAACTGGTGGATGATGAGATGCCACTGGCATTGGCAACGCTCCCACTGACTGCAGTTGGATTTGGATTCGAATTCGAATTGGGATTGGCATTCGGATTACGCTCATTGATCGTTGCGTTTTGCATGCGTATGCCGCCATTGTCCACGCTGTTGCTGGTGACCACAATGTGCTGGTTGGGATTGGGATAAATGCGCGACTTGCGACCACGTGTCGAACCCGTGGGTGCTGTGGTGCCGGCGCCACCAGAGCTGCTGCTGCTGCTCACGACAGCATCGTTGACCAGCTTGGAGCTGCTGCTGCTGCCGTCGGCAATAGCTAGAGTGGAGCTGTTTTCCAGACTCGGCTTGGGCTGATGCAGTGGCTCCCCGCCCCCACTCAGGTGATATTGATGCTGCTGCTGTTGTTGTTGTTGTTGCTGTTGTGGCTGTTGTGGCTGGTGTGGCTGGTGTGGCACCTGTGGTTGCTGCTGCTGTGGCTGCGGGTGTTGGCTATAGCTAAGCACCGAGCTGCGCAGATCAGGTGTGTTGGAGAAGACACTAAGGGGTCCCAGGGCCACGCGCTCGTTCAAGCTGTTGCGCAGATGATCTATGGAGCGATGCACTGCGTGGGAGTAGTCGCCGCCAGCGGGCGGAATTTCGCCAATTAGCGGGGAATTGTGATGGTAATCGAGGCCACCGCCAATTGGACGATACTCAATCAAACGGCCCTCCATTTTATTGTTAATATTTTTATTTAAGCTCGTTTTTTTCAACCGTTTTTAGTATTATTATGTATATTTATTTTTTAACAAGTCTTTAAAATGAGTTTTAAGCACAATTTTTATATCTGTGAAGAAAATGTTTCGCGGGTCATTTAAATAATTATTAATTTTATTTCGTTGTTTATTTCTTTTTGTTTTAGTTTAAAAGTTATTTTTAGTTATTTTTATGGGGTTTCAAACAGCGGAATTTCACTTGGTTTTTATTTCGCGGTTAACAAATGCAAGAATTTTAGATAACTTAAATATTTAGAATGTATTTTATCTGTATGTATACGGAGATTTTATTTTAACTGCATATAGCAGATAAAACGATTTAATATCCGCAAGGCACACAAGAATTTTAATAAAATTATAGAACAAATTTTAAAAGGTATTAAAATAAACAAAAAATAAATCAAGTGTACATTAATTAATTGAAATGTAATCTATTCAGAAGACATAGAACCCAAAATCAAATACCACAAAGTATTTTATGCTGAAGATAATGTCTTTAATATTATATGACTATCGACATAGGTTTTACCATTCTCTTTTTTATCAAGCTTAGTTTAGGTTAAGGTATTCTGCCTGTTGCACAGCTTTTTTTAGCGCTGTTTTTGTGTCCAATTTTATAGGTGACGGTTTTTTAAAAAATTCAAAATCTGCGAGACGCGACCGCAAAAACGTTTAGGTCTCGGCTCGCTGCACCAGTCACAGCAATTTTGGATAGAATTTTATTTCCTTTTTGGGCATTTTTTAATTTTTTGTGCCTGCCCAAATCTAACGCCACTTTTTCTATGCTTTTTTTGTTTTTATTTATTTTTGTTATTTTGCATTTTCAATTGCTTCGTTTGCGCTGCACGTCGGCATTTTTTTCAAATTTTTTTTACGCGGTAATATTTTTTCGCCACGCAGTTGACTTTTCAGACTTTATACGACCCACGCCCCCCCCCCCCCCCCTCGCACTCTGTGGCCGGGAGCGTGCTTTTTTCAATTTGACTATTTTCTATTTTCTATGCGGCCTTTTCTCTGCTCGCTTTTGGAGCGCTTCGATTAGAATTTTTTCCCCACATAAAAATCCGCTATGTGTTTCCCTCTGCTGCTGACTGTCTGTGATTTTATAGAGCAATATTTTTTTCTATTTCTTCATTTTATTTTTTGCTATTTGTTGTGGGACAAGTCATTGAAGCGCAGACAAGCAGCAGACAATTTGCGTATATGTCAGGTGAAAGTCCTCGTTGTTTTTATTTGTATTGTTCCATTTTTTTTTTTTTGGTTTTTGTGACGTTTTTCTATTTCTAAGCGCCGCGAATAATTCATTCATTTGTTGCATATTTCAACATATATTTTTTTTTATGAACTCTGTGAATGTTGATTTTTGATATGACTGAAACGTACTCGTGGCTGTATTTTTTTTATTTTGCGTTTAGATGGAATTGCAAGTTCGTTAGCCATTGACCTTGAATGCCATTTTTATGGGTTAACATTTCTATAAAGCCGCAAGTTTATTTATTTTTTATTTGCCAAATTGTGTGTTATTTTGGAGAAGTTAACTGGCAATACATTTTTATCAAGACTATGGAAATATAATAGATCTGCAGACTTATTATTTATTTGTGAACTAATATAAATTAGTCAAAAATAACAAAGTATACCAGAAACTCAACATTTAGAGCTAAAAGTTGATCTGATAAAAATGAGCAGCAGGTAAACTAGCTAAAAGTTGAGCAGAGCGTGCTTAAAACTGTCTAAATCTTTCCGAAGAACATATAGTATGCTATTGATAGGAAATACTATCTGCACACGTTTGTATACCAAGATGCAGAGAATTATCTAGATACGTTGGGGGAATTATCTAACAGCTAACAGCAGGAAAATTGCTTAATTTCTAGAAATAATATTACAGCAAATAGAAATTTTCAAAAATATTTCAACTTTACGAGTTTTATAATTCTAACAAATGGAGCAGAAAATATATATAAATATATATATATATATATATATTTATTGCCAGAGCGATGTGTTAGCATCAAATCACAATCTTCACTGCATATAAGCTGCATACATACTTAATATAGGGGCAGAGGTTATATACATACATATGTACATTGCATTATTATTATTTTTTCCTTTCAATTTTTATTTGTTAGCTAAATAATTATTTGTGTACAAATTACGACATGCATTTAAAATGGGCTCTTCCTTCTTTTTAATGGCATTCAGAGTGTTATATAAAACAGTATATAAATTCCAGTGTGTGTTACATATGTGTGCGTATTTATACAGACTTATCCGCATATGCGCTGCACATAATGTAGGCCCCGTCCTAAAACCGAATTAACAATAAAAAAAAAATAAAAAAAAACAAATAAAAATACAAAAAATACAAAAAAAATCTGCAAAAACTGGGGAATGTTCTTATGTACTTATGTGCATGTGTTTGAGTGTGTTTGTTTGTTTGTGTGTGTGTGTGTGTGTTTGTGGGCTGAAGTTCGGGTTAATGCATAGTTCGGGCTTTTAACTAATTAACATTTAGCGGTTTGGCCTGCCCTCGTCGCTCAAACTCTATATTTATTTTTAATATTAATTGAAAATTGTTGAAAAATTGAAAAAAAACGGAAAGAATTCGCCCGCTCTTTTATTATTCATAACTTTTTGCTATTGTTGTTGCCTGATTAATGCATTTTTCACACCACTTTTTAGCATGTTTTTATTAAATTGTACAAAATCACAAAAATGTTTCCGTGCCGTTTTTTTTTGGTTTTTTTTGTTTATAACTTATGTTTATTTTTTCGACTTAATGTCAGTTAATGAAAAATGCATTGCCGGGTGCCATTTGATCCGTGCAAATATAATTTTTCTATATATTTAATTATTATTTTTATTCATTTTAATGATATTTCATTTCACATTTGTCGCGGTTTTTTTCCTTAGTTGGGGTCACGCTTGTTTGCACTAATCATTAATTAATTTCACATCACTTCAAATATGCAATTAATTTTTGCTCTGCTCCTTAATTAAAGGTAACATATATTATTTTAATTATTAGAAGCGCACGCCCGAAATTCTTGCTGGTTACGTTGTGAACGCCGCACTTGCCATTGATTAACTGATCGTTGGCCAAATTAATTTCGTGGTCAACAGGCTCCACAAAAACCGCTAGTAGCTGTTATGAATGTGTGTGTGGGGGCGTGGCACTGCTTTGAACGCGCAGCTGTGTCCCATTAACGGGCTGTGCAGCGATTTGTGTGGCGCTTGCTCTGCATATTCTCAGCATATCAAATTTCCGAGCCTGGATCATGCGTGCCTCAGGCTCAAGCTCAGGCTCGGACTTATATTTGTATTCAGCTTCAGGTGTTTATGCTGCCCAATTAGCTTAAGCTTGAATGGTTTTTTTTCTCCCGCAGAACTCACAGTTGCTAAGACGCA